GGCTACCATCAGTTGAGGATTAGGGCATCCGATGCCCCTAGGTCAGCATTCCGCACTCAGATGGGCTTTATGAGTTTTTGGTCATGTCATTTGGGTTGACCAATGTCCCAGCAGCATTTATGGAGTTGATGAACCGAGTGTTCATGCCTTATTTGGATTTGTTTGTGATAGTCTCTATTGATGATATTCTGGTGTACTCCCGCAGCCAGGAGGAGCACGAGCAGCACCTCAGAGTGGTTCTTCAGACTTTGAAGTATTGTCAGTTATATGCTAAGTTCTCAAACTGTGAGTTCTGGTTGAGTTCGGTTGCATTTCTGGGTCACGTTGTATTAGCACAGGGTATTTCAGGTGGACCCGAAGAAGATAGAGGCAGTCAAGAGCTGGCCTAGACCAGGATCAGCGAGAAAGATTCGAAGTTTCTTGGGGTTGGCAGGCTACTACAGACGGTTCGTGGAGGGATTTCATCTATTGCAGCCCCGATGACCAGATTGACCCAGAAGGGTGCCCAGTTCAGATAGTCAGATGAGTGTGAGGCGAGCTTTCAGAAGCTCAAGACAGCTCTGACTTCAGCACCGGTGTTGGTTTTGCCCACAGGATCAGGGCCCTATACAGTCTATTGTGATGCTTCCCGTATTGGGTTTGGTGCAGTGTTGATACAGGGTGGCAAGGTTATTGCCTATGCTTCGAGAAAATTGAAGATTCAGGAGAAGAACTATCTAGTGCATGATTTAGAGTTGGCAGCTATTGTTCACGCCTTGAAGATTTGGAGGCACTATTTGTATGGCGTGGCATGTGAGGTGTTCACTGACCACAAGAGCCTTCAGTACTTGTTCAAGCAGAAGGAATTGAATTTGAGGTAGAGAAGATGGTTGGAGTTGTTGAAAGACTATGATGTTACTATTTTGTATCACCCGGGGAAGGCCAATGTGGTGGCCGATGCATTGAGTAGAAAGTCCGCCAGCATGGGTAGTCTTGCTTATATTCCGGTCAGCCAGAGACCGCTTGCTTTGGATATTCAGGCCTTGGCCAATCGCTTTGTGAGGTTGGACATTTCTGAGCCTAGCAGAGTGTTAGCTTGCATGGTCGCTTGTTCTTCATTATTGGAGCGTATCCGTGATCGACAGTTTGATGATTCCCATTTGTGTTTCCTGAGAGACACAGTGCAGAGTGGATGTGCCAAGAAGGTGACCTTAGATGATGATGGTGTTTTGAGATTGGAGGGGCGAGTTTGTGTGTCCAATGTCGATGGGATTCGAGAGTTGATCTTAGCGGAGGCCCACAGTTCTCGGTGTTCCATTCACCCGGGCGCCGCGAAGATGTATCGGGACTTGCGGCAGCATTATTGGTGGCGTAGGATGAAGAAAGATATTGTTGCATATGTGGTTCGACGTTTGAACTGTCAGCAGGTTAAGTATGAGCACTAGAGGCCTGGTGGTTTGTTTTAGAGGATTGAGATTCCCGAGTGGAAATGGGAGAAGATTACCATGAATTTCGTTACTAGACTTCCGTTGACTCGGAAGAAGTTCGACTCGATATGGGTTATTGTTGATAGGCTGACCAAGTCAGCGCATTTCATTCCTGTAGCAGTCTCCTATTCATCCGAGAGGTTAGCTGAGATTTATATCTAGGAGATTGTTCGCCTTCATGGTGTGCCGGCATCTATCGTTTCGGATCGGGGTACGCAGTTTACCTCACATTTTTGGGGTGCAGTTCAGCGAGAGTTGGGCACACGGGTTGAGTTGAGCACAGCGTTCTATCCTCAGACGGACGGCCAGTCCGAGAGGACTATTCAGATAGTGGAGGATATGCTCCGAGCTTGTGTCATTGATTTTGGAGGCTCGTGGGACCAGTTTTTGCCTTTAGCAGAGTTCGCCCACAACAACAGCTACCAGTCCAGCATTCAGATGGCTCCATATGAGGCGTTGTATGGTAGGCGATGTCGGTCACCAGTCGGATGGTTTGAGCCGGGAGAGGCTCGATTATTGGGTACAAATTTAGTTCAGGAGGCCTTGGATAGGGTCAAGATCATTCAGGACAGGCTTCGTTCGGCTCAGTCGCGGCAAAAGAGTTATGCGGATCGTAAGGTTCGAGATGTAGCTTTCATGGTTGGTGAGCGGGTCTTGCTCCGAGTGTCGCCTATGAAGGGCGTGATGAGATTTGGGAAGAAGGGCAAGCTTAGCCCTAGGTTCATTGGCCCATTTGAGATTCTCAATCGTGTGGGAGAGATGGCTTACAAACTTGCCTTACCGCCCAGCTTGTCAGCCGTGCATCCAGTGTGTCATGTGTCTATGCTCGGAGGTATCACGGCGATCCAGCCCACGTGTTAGATTACAGCACTGTCTAGTTGGACAAGGATCTTTCTTACGAGGAGGAGCCGGTAGCTATTATAGACCGGCAGGTTCGATAGTTAAGGTTGAAGAGTTTTCCTTCAGTGCGTGTCCAGTGGAGAGGTCAGCCTCCAGAGGCATCGACCTGGGAGTCCGGATCCGATATGCGGCGCCGTTATCCCCATCTATTTCCCGACTCAGGTACTTCCTTCTTTTGTCTGTTCGAGGACGAACGGTTGTTTTAGAGGTGGAGGATGTGACGACCCCAAAGGGTCATCACCTGTCTCCTCATTCATTTCGCGCTTCCGAGGCCTTGGAAACCTCACCTTTAGTTGCCTCGATTTGTGTGTGCAGTCCCGGCGCGTAGCCGGAAAGACTATATGTTAAATTCTGTGAAAAATTTTCAAAATGTGGCTTTAAAATGATTTAATGTTGACTTCGGTCAACATTTTTGGTAAACGGGCCCGGACCCGTGATTCGACGGTCCCGGAAGGTCCGTAGAAAAATATGGGACTCGGGCATGTGCCCGGAGTCGAAATCCAAGGTCTAGAACCCGAGTAAAAGAATTTTTTTGTAAAATTGTTTTTCTGAAATTATTAAGAAAAATGGAAATAAAAATTGATTAAAAGACTATGGTATCGGGCTCGTATTTTGGTTCCGACGCCCGGTACAAGTCTTAAATATGTGTTAAGCGATTTCTGTAAAGTTTGGTCGAAATCGGACGTCATTTGGCGTGTTTCGGACCTAAATATCTAAAGTTGGAAGTTTAGGAAGTTATAATGAAAAATGATGAATTTGGGGCTTGATTCAATGATTTTGATGTTATTTTGGTGGCTTGATCGCTCGAGTAAGTTCGTAGGATGTTGTTGAGTTAGTGTGTGTGATTGGTTAGGAGCCCCGAGGGCTCGGGAGTGTTTTCGGAGGTGTTCGGGGTGTTTTTAAACTTAGAAATATAGCAGGTTTTCCTTCAGCTATTACAGGCCAGGTTTGTTCTTCGCGTTCGCGATCGCCCTTACGCGATCGCGATGCTGGCCGGGTCCCCTTCTTCGCGTTCGCGAACCTATTCCCGCGTTCGCGTAGCTTTAGTTCCACCGCCCTCGCATTCGCGAACTAATTCACGCATTCGCGTAGTTACAGTTCCTCCCTCACCGCGTTCGCGAGTCTCTCCAAGCGTTCGCGTAGAGCATTTCCCTGGACCCCCCAGTCTTTCTCTTTGCATTCGCAGCCTCTTCATCGCGAACGCGATGGTCTGTTGAATTAACCCTTCGCGAATGCGGCCCCTTTCCCGCGAACGCGAAGGGCATTTTTGCCCGGTTAATTTTAAAAGCTCAAAACAGACCCATTACGGGATTATTCCCATTTCTTTATAAAACTTGTCTTCTCCAAGCTCTAGGAGCGATTTTTGAAGCTCTTCTTCACCAAAGTCTTTGGGTAAGTAATTTCTCACCTAATTCCTTCACTCTTCTTCATTAATTACTGAATTCCTAGACCTAAATCATGAAATTAAAGTAGAAATTAAGGGTTTTGGGTAGAGTTAGGGTCTGGAGAATTTTGGGTGATTCAACCTCAATTTGGGGTCGAATCTTAAAACAAATTGCATATTTGAACTCGTGGGGTTATGGGTGATTGGGTTTTGGTCCGAGCCTCGTGTTTGGACCATGTGGGCCCGGTGTCGAATTTTGGTATTTTTGGAAGAATGCTAGGAAATTCATATCTAGGCTATGGGATGTTGTCATTGAGTCTTTATTGATATTATTGAATTAATTATGCCTAGATATCATTGTTTCGGAGTCAGATTGTAGAGTAAAGGCGGTATTTGAGGATTGATTGCTATTCTTTGGACCGAGATAAGTGTTTGATCTAACTTTGGCTTTAGGGAATAGGATTAGAGTATTGTTTGCTAATTGCTAATTGTTGAGTACGGTGTATAGGCATGGTGACGAGTATCTATACACTGGTGTCTAGCATGACCGTGAGTCCTTAGTTGTGCTTATTTTGATTTTGTCGTGACTCTTCCTTGTGTAATTGATGATTTCTGTATAATGTGAAGGGTATGAGAAAGAATTATGACTTGTGAACTCTTTGGAGCGTTGGCTCGAATGCTAAAGTAATTGTTGAGTAAGAAATGAAAGAAAGAGAAAGAAATGTGATT